TCTTTATCTTGTGTTTTCTCTTTATTTTCTTTTTCATTTATTATTCTTGCAGCTTTACATCTATCGTTCATTTCTTTGATTGGGTTTTTGTGTTTGATTTCTTCTTCGATTGTTTTAATATCTTCACTTGTCCAATCTTTTGTTTTATCTTTGAATTCTTCTTTGATTTTCTCTAGTGTTTTCTTCTTCCTTATTGAATATACTTCTTAGAGAATATTATACCATTTCTTTTCTTTACCTTCATACTTTTTAAGTAATTCTTCGTATTCTCCTTTTTCCCATTTTCTTGTTATTCTTTTAATTTTCTTTTGAATTTCTTTTGTTGTCAACCATTTAGGTTTCTTGTTTGTATAATGTTTATTACCATTATACTTGCCTTGTTTTTTATTTGTTTTTCTTTGTGTTCTTCTTTTTCTAAACCCTTTTCTCTTGTTATTTCTTTTATCATAATTATTATGCATTTTATTGCTATTGAAGTCCTTTCTTTTCTTTGAACTTGAATACCTGTGTCTTGTTTGATTTTCTTTACAAGACTATATGGTATTACTCAATAGCCATGGCAACAAAATTTGTTGTATATTCTGCATTGATAAAAGGATCTTCAATAAAAGAAAAAAAATAAAATAATAGAGAAATAAATAAGAAATAACAAGAGTAAATGATAAAACAGAAAAATAAAGAGATAGGAAGAAGAAGAAGAAGAAAGATATAAATTATATTTAAAAAAAAAATATTAATAAGAAAAAGTTTAAAATAAAGAATAAAATTAAAGAAAGAATCATGAAAGGTATTAGAATATACTAACAAAATGGAAAAGTTAAAGAAGAATAACTGATAGTCCAAATAAAATTATAGAAGATATATTTATAATTGAAAAAAAAAGAAGAAATTATAAAAAGAAATAAAATAGTTAGAAATAAAATAAAGAAAGATAATGATTAGATAAAATAAAAAATGTTTAACATTAAAAGAATAAAATTAGGTATAAAATAAAGAAATAATATCAGGGGATAATGATAAATGATGAAAAACAAAAGAAATAAGAAAATAATTGAATAAAATAAAAGAAGGATAAATAGAAATGATAAACAGAAGTATTAGCGTAAATTGAGAAAGTAAAAGAATTGAAAAGAATATACAGTAAAATAATAAATAGAAGAAAGTAAAAGAATGGACAAGAAAAAAATAAGAAAAATAATATTTAATTCAAATATTAATGTTAGAATGTTAATATATAAAAATATTACATCAATATTTAAAAAAATAATTTATTATTAAAAATAAAAAAATATTTATTTAAAAAAAATTAGTTTTATATTATTCTTTAATTTATCTTTCAAATAATTTATTTGTTTATCAAATATTCAATTATTATTATCATTTATTTATCTGTTATTTTGACTTGAATTTTATCATTTTCATAATCTATTTGAATTTTATTCTTCTCTTTCATTATTCCACTTATTATTGATTTTGTTATTGAAGTTACTACTGTCTTTTCTATATATCGTCGCATTGGTCTTGCTCCATATGCTATTGAATATCCTGATTTAATGATTCCTTCTATTGCTGCTTCTGTCATTTCTACTTCACTTAATGGATATCTCTTTTTAATCATTTTAATCACTTCTCCCATTTGTAATTTAACTATTTCTTTTAATTCTTTCTCTGAAAGTGGTGAGAATACTATAATATCATCTAATCTATTAAGAAACTCTGGTTTAAATGTTTTCTTTACTATTTCCATTACTGTTTCTTTAACTTTTCTACTAACTTGTCCTTCTGTTTCTACTCCTTTCATTATTATTTCACTTCCTAAATTTGATGTCATAATAACAATAGTATTCTTAAAATCAACTGTTCTTCCTCTTCCATCTGTTAATCTTCCTTCATCTAATAATTGTAATAATACATTAAATACTTGTGGATGTGCTTTTTCAATTTCATCAAATAATATTACACTATATGGTTTTCTACGAATTGCCTCTGTCAATTGTCCTCCTTCTTCATATCCTACATATCCTGGTGGTGCTCCTATTAATCTTGATACACTATGACTTTCCATATATTCACTCATATCTATTCTAACTATATTTTGTTCATCATCAAATAATTCAACTGCTAATGCTTTTGCTAATTCTGTTTTTCCTACTCCACTTGGTCCTAAAAACATAAAACTACCTGTTGGTCGTTTTTCATTTCCTAATCCTCCTCTACTTCGAATAATTGCATCACTGACTGCTGTTACTGCTTCATTTTGTCCTATTACTCGTTTATGTAGTTCTTCTTCTAAATTCATCAGTCTTGTTTTCTCTGTTTGATTCATTTTAGTAACAGGAATTCCTGTCCATCTACTAACTACTTCTTCTATTTGTGTTGGTGTAACTTGTAATGATATCATTGTTGTTTCTTTATTTTGTTCCTTTAATTCTTTCATTCTTTTTTCTGCTTCTGGTATTGCATAATATTTTAAATCAGCTGCTACTTCTAAATCTTTAGTACTTTCTGCTTTATGTTTCATAGCTTCTATTTTCGTTGCAAGTTCTTTCATTTCTTCACTTCCTCCTTTTTCTTTTTCATAATTAATTCGTAATTTTGTTAATTTCTCTTTATTTTCACTTAATTCCTTTTCAATTTCTTGTAGTCTTTCTTTAATCATTTTATTATGGTCTTCATCACTTTCTTTAATGTCTCTTTCTAATGCTATTTTCTCTACATTTAATTGTGTTTCTCTTCTTTCTAATTTATCTATTTCTTCTGGTTGTGAATTCTTTTGTGTAAATAATGTAGCACATGCTTCATCAACTAAATCAATTGCTTTATCTGGAAGAAATCTTCCATTAATATATCTTTTACTTAATGTTGCTGCTGAAACTAATGCTGAATCGGTAATTGTTAATCCATAATGATTTTCATATTTCTCTCGTATTCCTCGAAGAATATATAATGTATCTTCTTCACTTGGTTCTTTTACATAAACTTGTTGGAATCGTCTTTCAAATGCTGGATCTTTTTCTACATATTTTCTATATTCTTCTAATGTTGTTGCTCCAATACATCGTAATTCTCCTCTTGATAACATTGGTTTTAAAATATTAGCTGCATCCATTGCTCCTTCTCCTGTTGCTCCTGCTCCTAATACTGTATGAATTTCATCTATAAATAATATAATAGGTATTTTACTTTCTTTAACTTCTTTTATTACTGCTTTTAATCTTTCTTCAAATTGTCCTCTATATTGTGCTCCTGCTATTAATGCTCCCATATCTAATCCAATAACTCGACATTGTAAATTACTTGGAACATCTCCTTTAACTATTCGTTGTGCAAGTCCTTCAACTACTGCTGTTTTACCTACTCCTGGTTCTCCTATTAATACTGGATTATTTTTTGTTCTTCTTGATAAAATACGAATAACTCGTTTAATTTCTTCATCTCTTCCAATAATTGGATCCATCTTTCCGCTTTCTGCTTGTGCTGTTAAATCATTTCCATATTTCTTTAATGCTTCATACTGACTTTCTGCTTCTTTTGTTTCTACACTTTGTCCTTTTCTCATTTCTGTTATTTTTTTGTTAAATTCTTTCACATTAATTCCACTATTTCCTACTATTGTACTAATTTCTTTCTCTTCCATTAATGACATTACAATTACATCTATTGCAAGATATGAGTCTCCCATTCTTTTTTGTTTCTCTATTGCTCTTCTTAATACTTGTTGTGTTGTTGGATGAAGTCCAATATCAACTGGTGGTGGATTTTGAACTGGAATTTTATTCATTGTTTCTTTTATTTCTTTCTTTAATTTATTAACATCACCTCCCATCATTTCAACTATTCGGATAACAATATTTGATTCTTCTTCAACAATTGCTTCCATCATATGAATTGGCATAATGTATGCATTTTTTCTTTCAAATGCTATTTCTTGTGATTCTTTGAACATTTGAACAGTTGCATCTGTCCATTTGTTTGGGTCCATGTTTTATTTCTAAATGCTTGTTATTTGTTCAAGTTCCTTTAAATACTTAATGAGGATGATGTGATGACTTATTGTTGTGTTGGTTGTTATTCATATTTTGTTATTCATATCAACGTGGAATAACGTGGTATCATGTCATCAAATAATAACATAATTTAATAACAAAAATGAAATAATATCACAAATATCAATGACAATGATGATTTAATCATTGAATGAACATTAAACATTCAAAACAAATGAATGATTTAATTATTTTATAGCGTTAATAAGAAAATTGACTCATTATTAAATATGTCACATCACTATTTGGATAATTATCATTTGGATTAATAATTATTCTTATCTTTATTTCATTCTCATAATATTCTTGTTTTTACTTTTTATTTCTTAATTTCAATATAAAGTAATTCCAACCAATTCAATTGGCTTGATTATTTCTTACATTGTTTAGACTGAAAATGAAATAAAGATTTGATTAAGAATGTAAAAGAATTGTTTGTGTCTATTTCAGTGTAACTTCTTTGAAAATTAAACCAATCTCTTTTTGGAAATTAATGTCCTATCATAAATAGTGATCTCTATACTGCATGTCCTGGTTTTTAACAAGAAACAGACATATTATTATGAGAGTTGTGTGTCAGTCTTAAATGTTACTTCAATTATATTTTGTTCTATTTCATCTTGAACTATATTAAAATGTTGTGAATGTTGTTGTAACTTTTTTCTGAGTTTAGACGTCTTATTTTGAACAGTTCATTTTATATCACTATTCAATATGTAATAATATGATGAAATGAAAAACAACTTTATTTTCAATTGTTGAAAAGAACTTATTAATTTATTAATAACATTTGACAATTATCAAATTTTTTGAATACACGTCATTTTGATTATACAACAAAAAAATCGAAACACAAAACAATGTTTTAATCAAAGACAAAAATAAATAAACAAAAAAGACAAGTTTAGATGAGTAATGAAGGATATTTAGATTACACAGACCTACTTATTTTTAATGAACAAACCAACACAACCAAATAAACAAGGACTCTTTCAAAAAATAACAGATTCCATCAAAGAGTCTCTTTCTCAAAGTATTGGGGTATATGCATCTGCTTATGGAGAAGTATTAGAACTATTAAATAAAGAATTTGGTATTGATGCTATTAGCTCTCTTTGTGGACTTCTTCTATTAGAAGGACTTCCAAAGCCAGATATTCATGATGTACCAATAATTAAAAATAAAGATTTCTATTATCTTATTACTAAACTTTCTCGACATGTAACAGCAGCATATGGAAGTAAACATGATTCAACATATACTTTAGTTAATGAAAAAGAATATAATGAAGAAGTTAAAGGATATAATCCAAAAGAAATAGAAATTGCAGCAATTTGTAGTAGAGCAGGAATTTATCCAAATATGTTATTGAGTTTAGTCACATCTCCACCATTATTTGTTGTATCGTATTATCTTGCTCTTGATCCATCATTACATTCATTGATTTTTTGTATAAGAGGAACATTTTCTATTAATGATATTGTTAGTGATATGATATTATATGGATCTCCTTTTACATATAAAGAAGAAGAAGGTATTGTACATACTGGAATGTATAAAACAGCTCAAGAAACATTAAAACATGTATTTCCTTCATTAGAAAAAGCAAGAAATGAATATCCAAATTTAGATTTAATTATTACAGGACATTCTCTTGGAGGAGGAATTGCTACATTAATTACTCTACTTTTAAATGAACAAAAACCTGAATGGAATATTCATTGTTATGGATTTGCACCTGCTGCAACATTAAGTGAAAATATAGCAATGATGCCAGAAGTAAATAAATTAATTACATCAATTGTTTTTGATTATGATGTTGTTCCATCATTATCTCTAAGTTCATGCAAACGTCTTATTAAACGAATGAATAAAGTACTTGAACAAGTTAGTTTTGATTATGTTAAATACATTACTAAATTATCACAAGGAATGAAAACAAGTGAAGCAGCAAGACAACTTGTTGAAGAATATGGGAAACCAATTGATGATTCTATTGATCTTGTAACTTCTCCACAACCTCTTCTTCCAGGTGGAGAAGTATACCAAATACTAAGAGAACCAGAAAATATGTTTTCTCTTCAATTAGTAGCAAATAATGTATTTGGAGAAATTAAAGTATCAAATACTATGATTGCTGATCATTTACCTACAAATTATATTATTGCTACAACAAAATTATACAAACAAATGACAAATGAACAAATTGAAGAAGATAGAAAGAAATTATTTGAACAATGTCTTGAAATGGTATAAAAAAAGAATACTTTACATACATAGAGTGTTTATATTTATTTATTTCTTTTTTGTTTTTATTTTGAAAAGAACTAAAAAATAGTTTTTATATTTTATCTACTTTATTATCTATTATTTCTTATCCATCAATGGAAAAAATACAAAAAGGATATTCATTTATTGCTAGTATTGGAATAGTCATTAATTATAGTATTGGTGTAGGTGTATTTGGATTACCATTTTCATTTTATTCAGGAGGATTACCATTATCAATGATACTGACAAGTATAATGTTATTATTAACATTAATTACATCTATGTATACTATTGAAGCAATGACAAGAACATGTAAAAGAAAAACAAATAGTGATGAATTAGATCAAGAAATTTATGATTTTACTTTAATATCAGGAATGTGGCATTCTAAACAAGGAAAAATATTAACAAGTGTTTTAATCATTATTGTTAATTATTGTTATCTTTGGGGATATGTTGCTACTGGAAGTAATACATTAATGACAATGTATTGGTTATTTAAAAATCAACCACAAATGTGTGATACTCAAACATGGAATTCACAATGTAATTTATCATATTATATTTGTGTTATAGTGTTTATGATTCTTACTGTTCCTTTAGCTTATGTTAATTTAGCTCAACAAGGATTCCTTCAATTATTTATGGCACTTTACAGAATAATTATGTTTAGTATTTTATTAATTACTATAACAATACAATTGTTCTATGGTCCAGTACAACTTGGTAATCATAAAATTGATACAGCATGGACAAATGAATGGAAATGGGGTAATTTTGGTATCTTATTTACTCATATTTCTGTTGCATTTAGTCTTCAGTCATGTTTACCTGATGCATTACAACCAGTTGGAAATAAAAAACAAGTTGGTTTAGTTACAATTATTGGATCTTTGATTTCAGGGATAATTTATATTTTGGTTGGTGCTTTATGTGCTTCAGTATTTACTGCATCCTCAACAAATCCAGTAACAATTAATTATGAATATTATACTGGTAGAAATGGTGGATTTGGTATTGGAAATCCAACTGTCATTGGTTATATTATTCGATATGCTATTCTTATATTTCCAATTGTCAATATCCTCAATGAATATCCTCTTGTTTGTTATACTCTTGCAACAAACATTTCTTCTACTCTTCCTAAATCGTATGGAGGTAAATGGAGAAAATATGCAATTGTATCTTGTGCTGTCTTTCCACCATTTGTTTTAGCTTGTCTTGTTGGGAGTGTTAAAACAATAGCAAGTTTAACAGGTATAGTTGCGTTTATTCTCAGTTATGTTTTTCCTTGTGCATTTGTCTTAGCCTCTCGTAGAATTTCAGTTGCAAGGAATGGTATAGAAGCGTTAAAGAATAGATTTTATTCTTGGTATTCCACAACAACTACTGTTGTGATTGTCTTTGTCATTTGTTCTATTCTTTCAATTATATCAACAACATTTGTGTTATATAACGTTTTTAAGTCTTTGGTATGATTCTTTGGAGGAATAGAGATAATATAATTAACTTCTTTTTCTCAAATGAAAAATTTCAATTATTAATACCATGAATCAGTTTGATCTTATCAAAGAGTTCAGCAGGAACATTTGTTGGAATAGATGGGTTTTGATTTTGATAGTGAAGATATTGTTGTGCAATATGATGGATAGCCCGTAATTTGTTGAAATTAAAATGACCTGACTTAGCAATAAAGGAAGCATACATCTCATCACCGACAAGAAGGTCCTTTGTTAAAATACCAATAAATGGAATTAATGGAGTTTGAGATTTAGAAATTTCTGTTCTTAGAGCTTTATAATTATCATTAAAAGAACAAAGAACATCAAATTTTTCAATAGAAGCTTGTGTTTCTTTAGAAAGATTACTTTTTAGATAATCGAAGTCTTGGATTTTATGAAGAGCAAATATAATAGCACATAACCCAAAGAAATTTCTTTGCTCATAAAAACGTTCAGCTGTTTTCATAATAAAATTGAAGAAAGCAGATTGAAAACTCATTGAACAATCTTTGATCATTGAAGAAAGTGTTTCTGAAAGCCAATTGAAAGATGTTGTCATAAATTTAATATTTGGAGTTGTAGTAGGTTTTTTAGTAAAGAATTGAACAATCTCTGCTTCAGTAATTCTTGAAAAAAGAACAGTATGAACATAAGTCATCATATCACTGAAATAAATATGGTCATTAAATCCTTTACAAAAGTCTCTTGATGAGAATGTAAACATTTGTGTTACTGGTTCATAAATTGGTGAATTTTTTATTTTACGAGCATTTTCTAACATAATTGTTACTTCTTTTTTCAATGACTCATTAGCATCTTTTTTTCCAATCTTTAAGAAAGATTGAAGACGACTAAGGGTACCTTCAACTCTAGTAAATTGAAATGGATCTTCCATCAACCATTTTTGGAGAGTAATTAAAATATTTTTTGTTGCTTGTTTCGATATAGAATCATTTGGTTTTCTAGGAATTAATTTTTGTATAACACTATCAATAGGTTCAAATAATGTGATGGTGTTAACAAATACGTCTCGCATTTCTGGATCAAACGGTATTTCTGTTTGAAGTAAATTTGTAAATTCTTCAATAGTCCCAGAATTCATTACAATTCTACCTTTTTCATTTGAAAACCATGAGGACCATGTTAATGGTTCACCTATCTTTGTTTCCTCATTCATTCTATCTAACAGATTTTCTAAATATTCAGTTAATTTCTTATTCCACATGTATTCTTCCGTAGCTTTATTTAATCCTACTTTTATATTTTTCAAAAGAGCAGTAACTTCAGAAACATATCTGAGTGGTGAAAAAACTACAGAAAGAATATCGCTTCTACGTTCAAATACTTTTTTATTTATTTCTAATGGGATTTTTTCTTCATATTGTTTCCATGGATTTATTAATGAAGTATACCATTGTGGTGCTTTCTCATGAAATGCAGCAAAGTGTTGTGCAAGTGCAATGAAATTTAGGGCTGTGTCATCAAAAAATCTATAAAGTTTTTCTCCATAAGTATCAGATCTATAAAAACAAGAATAATGTCTTGTAAGAACTGCGTTAAGTGAATTTAATTTAGGAATTAAATTTTTTAGTTCTTTAATAATAGGTTCTAATGAAAGACTTAATGATGGTTGAAGGTCTGCACAAGATCCGGTTCGTTTTATTGATCTACGACTTGACTTAGACTTCTCTCCAAGAGTTTCTGTAGCTGTAATAGGATTATAATAATACTCATTTAATGCTTCAATTTGATTGACAAACCTTCTTGTTTTAATGATTACTGAACCAAATTTACTTGATTCAGGTTGTCTTCCTAACAAGATAAATCCATTACCTGCAGTCATATTTCTTCCTTCACAAGACCCAAGAATATCCCAATAGTACTTAATTTTTTCTCCTTCTCCATCTTTCTTTAACACACAAACTTTAAACTCTTCATCTTCACCATAAATATCATAAAATCCAGAATATATTCTTAACATTTTATGTGGAACAACCACACCATCACTATTTTCTATCTCTCCATTTGACTTTAGTCCCCATAGTTGTTTGGTTCCTGCTATATCAATAAATAATGATTTTGATGCAAATTTTGGGTTAGAATCTATTCTTCCATTTTCTAATAATGTTCCTTTTAATTCGTTGTGAGCTAAAATACGCACAATCTTTTCAGAATAACCAAATCTTTTCTTTTGTCCTTTTGTTAAATGATAACACTCACCAAATCTATCAAGAATAAAAACCTCTTTATCATTTCCAGTTATTTCTTGTGGAGCAACAACTCCTTCTACATTAGAATATTTCTTATCTTTACCTTTCCCAATTTTACCTTTATGAATAAAATAAAATGAATCTGGACCTTGACAAATATAATTTGAACTTCTACTTATTCCAAAAGTTGGAGATGGGTTGGGGTTGTCTGGTGATGAATAATAAACATGGTCATCACAAAGATAAAAAATTCTATTACCAGCAACAAACACGTCATGTGCTCCTTGAGTTTCTACATAATATGGACACGTACCAATAATCTGTATTTCTGTATTTTCTTTTTCAATTCTTGGTGTTATTTGTCTACTTAAATAAGTAGACCCACCATTTGAAGAAGAACACTCCGGAATGTTTTCCTCAAAACTTAGTTGACTCTCTGGAATAGGTTGGTCTGGGTCTCTAGGATTAGGAATAAATGTGGTAGATCTACGAGACTTACTCATTATCAGTTTTTTAGTTTCAATATAATAAAAAAGGTTTTAAAAACTTCTACTCTTGATTCATTTTTTGTTTTAAATTTTGGGATGAGTAAAAATTGTGTTTTATCTTGTGATTGCAAACAAAGAACCTTTAAAAAGTTCTACCAAATCAAGAATTCTAAGTTCAAATAACACAAAAATAATTATCTTCAAAAAATAAAAAAATAGAAGGAAAGAAGAATAAAAAGAAGCATAAAAATTGATCTAAACAATTCTTCTTATAATCAATCATGCCCACACCAGATCTCACTAGCTCTTCAAGTTTAAATTTTTCTGATAGTTCAGAGGACAAAAACCACACTGCTGAATATGTTGTTGGATATATTATGTTAGGTATTTGTGCGTTGTTCCTTTTGATTTCAGTTGGAGAAATTATTGGTAAGACTATCTATAGAATTAGGCACAAGAAAGATGAGGCAGATGTTATTCCACAAGCTGCTGAAGTTGATGATGATGATGATGGAAATTAATTTTGAATAACAAAACGTGGTAGTTTGAAGAACATATTTAATTGAATGAAAACTGACACAAACCTTATCAATTTACTTTTGTTATGTTTATTAAGTAATACTAAAGCGATTTTATAGCATAAAAAAGTGCAGCTATTACAACCATCAATAAAAGCATAATATCTACAAATACAATAAATAGTGTAATGTGATAAATTGATGATAGTTTTTGAGATTTTCTATACTTTCTCATATAAACTAAGCTACAGATTAAAAACGGAGGAAAACAAATACCGAGAATGAGAAAGATAATCATACATGCTTTCTTTTTATTTGTAGCATGAATTTCTTTCATAATTTCTTTCGTTTCAGTCTTTTCATAATTTTCAAAATTTTCATATGTCACTTGTAAATTATCTAAATATTCTTGAAAGATATCAGGGGGTTCACTTAATGTTACAATATGTCCGACTTCTTGACCATTCTGTAGGTTTGACTTTAGTTCCTTCGAGTTTGGATTTGTTAAATTCTTTGGCAGTTTTTTGTACATCTTTTGTTGGTCGATGTAGTCACTAATACTTGTTTCACTGTCCATTTCAATGGATTGGTTATCTGTCATAGATACTGTAAGGTTGAATGAATTCTTAGTGAAAAGAAAATTGGTTTATTTTCATTCATAAAAGGCAGAAATTTTAAAAATCAATTTATTTAAATGTTATATATAACGAATTATTAGAAACAAATACAGAATAAAGAAAAGAAAAACTAAAAAACAAAAAAAAAAGGATTAAGGGGGTGAATGTCAAGTAGTTTTCATAGAAAACAAGTTCAGACAACTAATATTCCACGAGCACAAGGTGGAAGACTTAAAAATTGGAAATGTACATATCCAGGATGTAATGAACCAGCCAAAACAAGATATAATTGTTATTCACATATATGGGATACACATTTAAGGTATAAACAATCAGAAAGAAGAAATGAATTAGCATCATGTTACAAGGATATTAAAAATAAAGAAACAATAAAAATTATGTGTGACAAATATATGTCAAAATTAGTTGAAGTTCCATATCCATTTGAGTTTGAAATGAAAATATCAAATAAATCTGAATTATCAGTTATTGAAGAACAAATGCCAAATGGTTTCTTTAATCAAAATAATGATGTTAGTATTATTATGAATGAATCTTATCCAATAAAATGTCAAGAAATTCCAATTAAAGAAAAAGATAAAGAAGAAGATATTAATGAACAAAACTTTATTGAAATTATTCAAATGAGTCAAGCATTAAAACAACTTCATGTAATTGGGGAAATATTTGCTGAGAATGGATTTTTAACAAGATCAGATCAAAGAACAAAGACTGATATTGCTAATCTTAACAATTCATTAGATCTTATTATGCAATTAAGAGGAGTTACTTTTAAATATAAAGGAACTGAAGAACGAAAATATGGATTTATTGCACAAGAATTAAAACAAGTCATACCAGATCTTGTTCGTGAAGATGAAAAAGGATTATATATTGATACACAAGGTATTTTACCAATATTAGTTGAATCTCTTAAAGAATTAAATCAAAATGTAGAAGAATATAAAAATCAAAATAATGAAATATTAGAACTTCAAGAACGAGTTGATAAAGCAATGGACCATTTATATAAATTAAAAACAGAAAATGATAATCAAAATAAAAAGTTAGAAAAACAAACACAAATAAAAGAAATTAATAAAAAGAAAAAAGAAAATCCAATATGGTACAAAATTAGGACATTATTAGGTCCACCACCATTTATTCTTTTTGCATGTCTTTTTTCAACATTTTTTATAATAGTTATTCCAATTATCTTTAGATCATTTTATTTCCTTATTGCATTCTTTGGATCATTAACTATTATTTTATGGTTTGTTGTAGCATTAAATTGGAAAGATATTAAAATCTTTTTAAAAGAAGGAAAATCATTTATTCCATCACTTATTGGTTGGAAAATTCATCAATATGTTGTTTGGTTTATTTTATTTTCGTTATTTATTGATTGTGCAATAAGTAATATGGTTATTGGACAATACGTATTTATTTTTGTTGGATTATATAGTCTTGCAGCATTTTTAACATTATCATTTACTATGTTTATCAGTAATAATGCTCCAAGTTGTGTTCCAATTCAATTTTTACTAATTCCATTAGTTTTAGTTCAAGCAGTAGGAATTGCATTATTAGTATTATCAATAGTTTATCAACCATTTAATGAAAATTTAGAAATGAATAAACCACTCCCAACTTATGACCTTGTTATAACTGAAAATACTTACATTGATTTACCATTACTTCCTGTATCATGGAATTGTTTTAATTCAAAATTTAGATATGAACCAGAATTACCAGATGGAATTTCATTAAATTATGATAAAATAGGAAATTTACCAAGGATTAGTGGAATTGTTAAATCTATTGATTATAATAATCAAAGTACAATAGAAATTAATATTGATGCAATATGTAGTGGATATATTGTAATTAAATATCCAAAAGTTATTTTACATAATTGTGCTAAAGAATTAGATATTTCTCATTGTATAGATCCAAAATGTTCTTATTGTAATGTAACATCAAATTCATCATTAAATCGTTGTTTTCCATGTACTTTATTAGCAAGTCAATTATGTCAAAAAGATAATGGAATTTCTTCTTGTTCAATAAAATATTAAACCATAATCTATATTGTTTTTTTTTTATTTATTTTTAAGTATTCATTTACACACACCATCTTCTCAATAATCCATAGCTTTTCTTCTTTTAGAAAGTATTTCTTGTAATTCATTTCCATCATCTTTTGTTTCACTAGTTTGTTTTTTTATTATTCTAGGATTAATTGTTTGTCTTGTTAATGTTGTTTTCTTTTGTGTTGTTGTTGGTAAACTTGTTGATAATGCTTTTCTTTGTATAATAACAGGACTAGATGTTTTAGGTTGTTCTACCTCTACTTTTGGGTGTTGTATAATTGGTTTTTTTATTGAAACAGATGAAGAAGAATGTTGAGAGGGAATTTCTTGATGAATTTTATTTGAATTACTATTAGTATGTTGAAGAAATGGTTTATTTGTTTCTGTAGAAGCACTTAATCTTTGTGAAGGTCTTTCACTAACCATAGAAATACGAGATACTTTCTGTTGTTGATTGATTGGATCAGCAAATCTAGGAAAGAGTTTATTGAAATGATTAATATAATTTGTTAATAGATTTAATAATGAAGGAAGTACATATTGTCCATTTTCACCTTCTGAAATAGAAAATACAGAAGGTGTTAAACATACAGAAAGATTCTTAGATCCCATTGAATTTATTTGTTCATTTTGAGCAATTTTATTACATAATCGAAGTAAATGAATGAATAATGTTTTTAATTCTTCAGGTAATTGATTAACTGCATTTTTCATTAATTGAATAATATTCTCTTCAGTATTTTGGATTGTATTCATACGTTCAGCTAATTCCATTGTTTGTGATAAATTGAAAATATGATTTGGTAATTCTCTTAAAAACTTTTTATAAACTGCAGCAGTAACATCAGGAGGTAATTCTAAAAAATTTGTTACAGACATTCTCATATAAATTTCTTGAATAACATTTGTAGTAGCAGTTGATTCACGAAAAATTCCTTTAGTATTTAATCCATTTTTCATTAAACACATATGAATATTTTCTATAACTCTTGGAAGATCTCTTGTAGTTCTATGTTCATCTTTAAGAATAGCAGAAATAGGAACATTAGCATAAGTGACTGTTTGAGGTTGAAATTTAAGTTTTTCATCAGTTATTTTCTTATTAATAGTTTCTTTCATTTGTTTAAACTTATCACTTTCTTCAATAAAAGTAATTCCCATTCTAAAATATTTATAATAATCATCTAACATATCTGTAAACATTTTTGTTATTGTCAATGATGTTGTTGTTGATAAACTATGATATAATGTAATAATTTTTTCATTTACTATATCTCCTTGTTTTGCTAATATATATAAATATTTAATTCATTTCATTTTATAGATAATAGAAGATATATTTTATAATAAAACAAACATTTTTGTGAATACCCTGCAGATTTAAATTCATTTTCTATTTCTTGGAATTTCATATCTAATGAATCTAATACACTACTAAATAATTCTGAAACATGTGAAGCAAACATTTGAGTAGAATTATTAATATAACTCAATGCACTAATAATAACTTCTCCATCTTCTGGAACAAATCCAACAGAATTATTATAGAATGTTGCTTCTATTAAATCTGTTTCTTTTCTTAATATTGTATTCATAGTACTATATACTTCATTCCATTCTTTAATAAATTCATGTTGTTTATTCCAAAAGTTATTAATCACACTAAATTCTTTAAATTTAGTCTCACCTATTATATGAAGTTGATTGTCAAGAAGACTTTGATTAGCCATGAAATAGAAATTAAAATTAAAAAGTTTTAAATCATAAAAAAATTAATAAATAAAAAATCATCTTGTTTCTTTTGTTTTTTTTTTATTTTAACTTGTCATTGTTCTTTAGTTTAAAATGGTAATTTATTATTGAAAAAAAAAATTTATTTATTATTCTTTTCTATAAAATTATATATTATTTCGTAAAACATAGATTGCCTTAATATATTCTTATTAATTATTCAATCATTCTGTTTCCATTTTTATTTCATCATCTTCTTCACCATCATCATCTTCTTCTTCTTCAAGAATAGGTTCATAAATACTCTTTCTCAATTTAACTATTTCATTGCTAAATCATAAAAACATGTTAAACAAACTTAAACTAAAACATCAAACGGAAAATCTAAAATGTTATTATCAATAAATTCAGAAACTTTCATTAAATATTCATCAACTCGATAATTTAATTGTTTGAGTTCTTCAATTTCCTTTTTAAGTTGTTCATCACTTTCCATAGTATTTATATTTTATTTATTAGTGTTATTCTCTAGAAAATTAAGACTTAAAATTATTATAATTTATTATTAAAAATTTATCTTTAATAATATTTTTCCTAAACCCATACTATTTAAACCCATCTATTTATCTTTTCTTTATTATTCCGAAGTCTTAAGATCTACTATGCCGGTTCGATTTTAATCATTATGATTAATGTAGAACCAATTGCCTTGAAAAGGGTGTAAATGGTTAGTGATTGAGTCATAACTTCGGTAAATTAACTAGGTATGATGCATCCCACTTTATTTTAGAATAATGTGGTGTTAAAGTCATATTTCAATTATACACATATCTTTTTTTATATATAGCTTAGAAACGATTAAATTTCATGATATAAGGAATATTTCAATTATTTTGTTATTTTAATATATATTTTTTAATTTGTTATTTTTGAAATAATTAAAAAAAAAGAAAACAGTAAAAATAAATTTCTTTTATAAATTTAATAAATAAAAAATCATCTTAAAAAACTGAATCAAAAGATTAAGAGAAATGGGATGTGGATCATCTGCCCCTGAACCAGCACCAGTACAACAACGACCTCAACCAAGAAAAGTTGACCCTGCAGTTGAAGAACGTAGAAGAAAAGAAAAAGCAGAAGAAGCCAAATGGGTAGAAATTGCTAAAAAGCAAGGACCTCCTGAACCAAAAATTCCACAATTACCACCTAATCCTACAGAACAACAATATAAACAATTTATGATTGATAGATTTGAACATGAAGGATGGGAAAATCAAATTATTTTATTAGCAAGAAAATTAAGAGCTGAAAATCAAGCACATTAAATGGTTATGTATAATGCTAATTTAGCTTTTTATTATTATATTTTATCTTTTTTAAAAATGTTAAATATTATCAATTTCTTTTTCTATTATTATTTTATCATTTTTTATTTTATAAAATTTATTTCTTTCTTTAAAAAAAAAAAAACTTTTCTATGAAAAATACCAACTTAAATTATACCATAAATTATTATGTTAAGTTTAAATAATATCCATTACATTATTAATCAAATTAATAATCTCCAATGTTTAATTAATCTCTGTTTTGTTTCAAAGAGATTTTATCTCAATATTACTTCAAGAAAAGAAAATATTGTTTCTATTTCTGATTTAAATCTTTTTTCAAATATTAATTCTTTAAGATTATTTTCTCCTAATGACAAATTAATCAATAATATTAATACAATAATTATTGACTATCCAATCACTTATTCTCAATTTAAATTAATGTGGAAAAATAATATATCATTTCATCATATTATATTAAAACATCATGATATCAATTTAATTCAAACTTCTCAACAAATTATTAATTTTATTGTTCCAAATATTATTAAAAGTATTCATGAACGATGTTTTGTTGGATATACTCAATTATCTTCAATTACTCTTTCTTCACCAATATATAAATTAGGTATGTATGCTTTTAATAATTGTTCTTTACTTCAAAAAATTAATCTTCCATCATCACTTATTGAAATAGGTGATCATGCCTTTAAAGGAATTCATCCAAATGCTCAATTTACTTTTAGTGGAGATATATGTTATGCTAATATTCCTTTATTTATTTCAAAACAATTGATAAATCAAGGAGTTCAATGTTTAAATATTCAATTTACTCAAGAAGACTTTGTAAGTATTAATCAATTCAATATAATAATTCCTTCATGTTGTAAATCTATAGGTAGTGATTGTTTTTGTCGTTGTTTTAATTTAACCTCTATAGATCTTCCTTCTTCAATAACATCATTAGGAACAAATTGTTTTAGAGAATGTTCTTCAATTTCAACACTTTCAATCCCAGCTTCATTAATTTCAATAGGAAATGGTTGTTTTTTTAATTGTATTTCTTTAACTTCATTATCGTTTCCTGATAATTTGGTTTGGCTTGGTATTGATTGTTTACGTGGATGTTCTTCTTTAAAATCTCTCCATCTTCCATCTTCTTTATCTTCATTAGGAAGAAGTTGTTTAGAAAAATGTTGTTCATTAACAACACTAACCCTACCTAATTCTCTCCGTTTTTTAAGTAGAAGTTGTTTAGAAAAATGTACTTCATTAAAACATCTTTCTTTACCAACAATAATGACATCTATTGGAGATGGTTGTTTTTATAATTGTTTATCATTAACTTCTATTATTATTCCTTCTTCTGTACAAGTTTTTGAGAGATTTTGTTTTGGTAATTGTTTACAACTTTCAGGGATAGAAAACATTCCTAAAGAATGTTTTAAACAACGTCCAATAAAATATTAATTTATTATTATTTTTAATAAGAATTATTATTAAAAATAAGATTAAAAGGTTTTTAATTGAAACAAAAAATGAACTAAGAATATTTTAAATTTTAGAACAGTTAGTATATTATGACAATTATTTTACTTCTTCTTATTTTACAAATATCTAATGGTTTATATAATCTTAATTATACTAATTTTGAAGAAGCATTAAAACAAAATCAATATATTTTTATTAAATTTACAATTACTAAGAATTGTCCATTTTGTATTGATTATACTCGTGAATTTAATCAATTATCTATGTTTATGGATATTCCATTTGGTTCAGTTATTTGTGAAGATAAAGATATTGAATTATGTGAAAAACAAAATATTACAGTTTTACCAACTTCAATATTATATAAAGATGGTAAACAATATCGATCATTATATGGAATGTATGAATATGGTAATATTAAACAATGGATTAAAAATATGTTAGAACCAACATATATTGAAGTTAAAAATGAAGAAGAAATTAAAACTTATAGAGCTGATAATATGGTTCTTATTACTTCATATTTCCCAAATAAAAAAGATGAACAAGATTATCATTCTATGTTAGAATATATTTCTAATGATGTTAAAAGATTTAAACAACAATTTATATATATTATAAATGATAAATATAAAAAACCAACAATAGTAATTAATTCAATTACATCTGAAGATGATGAATATTCATTAGAATTTGAATTAGAAAGAAATCAAACAAGATTAGAATTTAAATTATTATTAGGATTTATTCCACCATTTTCTTCATTAAATAATATTCAAAATCTTTTAGAACAAATTGAAACACCAATATTACATTATATTTATGATACTAAAATGTCAAAATCAACTCTTATGAAAGAATTAGCTAAAAAATATCAATTAAAACTTCCTTTTGTTACTGAAAGAGCACAAGAATCAAAGGTATTAGCTGGACATAGTCAACAAATATATCCATGTATTTCAATTAGTTTTGGTTTACAAATATATTCAATGAATGAAACTATTGAAATTACAAAAGAAAATGTTGAAAATTTTATTGAAAATTTCTTTTCAGGAAAACTTCAACCAGCAAAGAAACATAGAACATCTAATCCACAACTTCTTTCACATCAACCACCAATTATTACTTCTGATATTTATGATGAATATATTAAAGAAGATGCTGCTATTGTTATTTGTCCATTTTCTTTTATTAAATGTCAAGAATATATTAATTCTGTAATGAAAGGAATATATCAAGCATTTGAAAATACTCCAATCAAATTTGGTGTAATAGATATAGAAGAAGATGACATTATTTCAGAAGAACAAATTGTTTCATATCCAACTATTATACTTACTACTAAAGATGTTAATAAAACTCATATCATTATGAAACCAATCACTAGTTTTGATCCAATAGAAATTATTAATGAAATTAATATTCATTGTCAATTTAAATTAACTTTAAGTGATAAAGAAGTAATCCAATTAAGAAAAAATATTGAACAAATAGTTACTGTTATTAGAGCAAATGAAATTGTTGAAAATGAAAATGAAAATGAAAATATACAAAATCAAGAAATTAATAACCAAAATGATTTAATAAGTAAAGAAAAGAAAAAAGAAGAATTATAACAATTTAATTTTATTTTTATTACTTTTATTTATTTAAATAATTAGAATGATTAAAAAAAAATTCAATTAAATTGAAATTTCTCCTTTTATATATTGTAGTAACCAATCTCTGTAATTGTTGAAAGTTGTTGAATTATAACATATTTTAAATAATTTTAATGTATTAATTCCTAGTCGATCTCCAATTGAATCATCTAAATCTTCTTCATCTAATAATTCCATTTTTAATGTTACCCAAACTGAATCAAAATATAAATATTCTAAACTCATTAATATAAAATCATCTGTATTATCTAATAATGTTTTTTTATTCATAATCATCTGTTTCATACTCTCATTTTCAGTTTTTAATTCACTTAATTCCCATTTAATTTTACTAACTTCTTTTAATTGTTCATTTTCTCTTTCTATTTGACTCTTTAATCTGTTAATATCTTCTTTTAATTCTTCTTTCTCTTTCTCATCTTCTTGTTTAATTTCATTCATTTTACTCATTTCGTCATTAACTCTTTGTAATTCGACAAGAACTTGTTCTTTTGTTTCTTCAAATTCATTAGAAATAGATTCTTTTTCTTTTCTTTCTTCTTCTAGTAATCGTTGTGTTTCTATAAGTTCATTCTTCAATTCTTCAACTTCTTCTGTAGTACTTATTTGTTCCTTATCTTCTTCTTTTTCTTGAACTTCTTTTTGTATTCTTTCTATTTCTTCTTTCAGGTTTTTAATGTCATTATCTCTTTCATTAATTTCTTCTTGTAACTCTTCTATTTGTTCTTTCTTACTGATTTCATTACCTTCTTTTTCTTGTTCAATTTCTTCTATTTTGTTTTGTAGTTCTTTTAAACTATTTTTCAGCTCATTACATTCTTGACTAACTTCTTCTTTTTCATTACTTATTTGTATTATTCGTTCATTAAGCTCACTTCCATTGAGATTTAATTCTTCTTCTACTTTTCTTTTTTCCTCTTCTATGTTTCTAATTTGTTTAACTAATTCATCTCGTTCTTCTTTAATAGCATTTACTTCTTCATTAACTTGTTTTAATCCTTCTTTTTCAATTGAAATATTATTTGTAAGCTCTTCATTTTCAGATTTTAGTTTATTAATTTCATTTAAATTTAATTTCATACAATATTAAAACGTTTTTTTCAAATAATTTAAAAGCATAAAAAGTAGAATGAAAATATTCTGTGTATAACTGAAATTTTTAATAACCGACATTCTTCAATTAAGCTTCAACAACTTCTCCTTTTTCTTCAGCAACTGGGGCAGCTTCAACTGGTGCACTGTTATCTTGGTGTTGGTCAAGGAGTTTAAGTGAATCAATTTTACCAGCCTTAAGAATCTTGACCTTACGAATGTAGACATTGTCCATTGAGAAGACTTTGCTGCATTTGGCAACAATTTCTTTTGGAAGTTTGTTTTCTCTGAGATAATCAACAAATTGTGTAAGTTCACGTGAAGCAGCTTCTTTAGTGATGAGATTATTCATAATCTTTCTAATCTTTTTAATTTGAGCACTTTTAGCGTATGAAGTCTTCTTGATTTGATTGGATTTTCTGCTGGTGAATCCAATGCAGAAGATTCTAATTAAGTGGCCATCAGTAGTTTTGACATCAACTGATGTTTCAATAAGAGTACACCACTTCTTAACAATTGATCTTAATTTATCAGTGGTGAGTTTAAGTCCATGGAAGATCATAAGACAATCTTTTCCATTAACATCTTCACATTTAAATTTGTAATTGTATGCTCCAAATTTTTCATTTTCCATAAGATCAGCAAGATTTACTTCAACAACTCTTCCCTTAAGTTGTTCTGAAGCAATTCTAGTACCAGCTGTCTTATTAACAACAATTTGTCCAACGGTTCTTCTTTTGTAATTCTTTGGTACTTTAACATTGTACCATTCCTTCTTGGAGAATGGTTCAGCAATCTTTCTCTTGCTTCCCTTCTTAACATTTCCTGCCTTATACTTCTTATTCTTTCCTGTTGCCATCTCCTAAGAATTGGTTTTTTTAGTTTTTAGGGTTTTCTCTTTCTTTTTCTTTTTTTCCAATCTAGTTTCTTCAAACTATAGTTTACTATACATAATTTTATTTTGATTTATGAGAAGGTTGATTGATGAAAAGGAAGTTGTTGTATAGTTTGGGAACTTAATAACCACTATGAGTTATCAATCCTCACAACTCACTGAAGATGAATCTACTAACAGAAGACTATTGCAAGAAGCTAATAAATCATTAAAAACAGTACAAGCAGAATTAACTGTAAAAAAAATCTATAAAACTATGGAATATGAAAAGATGATGAAAATTTTATATGAAAGGAGAAGAGATGTTGTTGCAGGATTTTCTGTCCAGAAAAGTAAAGAGACTCAAGAAGATGAACCAATAAAATGTGATGACAATGATTTAAAGAAACCACAAATCAATAACAAAGGAGTACCATTTTTCTGGATTAGAGCATTGAGTGCTGTTAGTTTATTCTTATCTTACAACACAGTAGAAGAAGATTTAGTAGCATTATCATATCTCAATGATATCAAAATAACAACATTAATACCATCATTTGATATGAAGTCATTAACAATCAAAATGGGAAAAGAATTAACATTCTCTTTTGATAAGAATCCATATTTCACTAATGATCATTTCACAATTAGAATGATATATCGAGCAAATGAAAATGGAGAACGTCTTAGTTCAACAGGAAGAATTAAAGTTATCACAAAAGGAATTGATTGGAAAGTGAATTTATTAGAGATTAACTCATCATCATTTTTTAATGTGTTTATACAAGAATTAGTTAATGAAGAAGATTATGAAATTCTTGATTCAGTTTTTGATAATTTTAATACTAAAGCTATCCAATATTTTTATCAATTCAATTAATATTATTGTTTACTGTTATTTTGTATAATATATTTTTCAGAAGAACTTAAAAAGAATGAGTAATATGTCAATAATTCCATCACGCCTTGATTACATTAATTGTAAAGATGTTGTTGAATTAATTACAAATAATAGTAATAAGAAAAAGTTTATTATTATTGATGTACGTGGAAATGATGTTGGTGATTTAATAATACATACTGCAATCAATATTCCATCACCTAATTTTAAAGACACTGCAATGTCATTAGCTTCAATATACAAAAACTATGATTTGATTATTATTCATTGTATGATGTCACAAACAAGAGGACCAACATGTGCAATGATATTAAATGAATGTTTTAAGAATGAAAGATACAAAGAAAGTCATGTTCAAATAAGAATTCTTAGAGGGGGATTTGAGAGATTTTATTCAGAGTATGGTGAAAGAAGAGAATTATTTGATTTAATAAATTAACAAAAGAAAAGAGAATGATTTTAAAATAAATTGAATAATTCTTTTTTTTTTATTTTAAATAAAATAAAAAATAAGAAATAAAACATATTTTTAATAAGAATTCAATTGTATATTAGTTATAAAGGATCTAAGATCTTTTAGTCAATGTCAGAAGAACTTTTAAACCAACCAAATTTTAATTTTATTGATAATAAAGAAGATCAAATAGCATCAATTAATTGTCCAGAGCCATCATTTCCTTGGTTTTATAAATTATGGAGAGTTCAAGGATATTATAATTTATTAATATTAAAATGTTATCCAATTATTCAAGTATCTGTTATTGCATTTCTTGGTATTTTCTTGATTTATTTAGATTATTCTACGTTTATTGGATTTCCATTAAAACCAATAATAACAAAAGATGGAACATTACCATCATTTTTTGATTTTTTTGTAACAAGTAAATTAAGAAATTTATTAGTAAGTATTTTAGGAATATTTGTGATTATTTCATTAGTATATTATGGATATAAATTATATAAAATAATGAATGATGAAAATTTATTAAATGCAAATAAATTTTTTAATGACAGAAAAGTTTTATCTGTTGGAGGAGATTGGAATAAAGTTAAAAGAATGTTAAGGTATTCACAGAATACAGAGAACGAACTTGATCAAGAAGGATTTACTACAAGTACAATTATTATGACATCAGGGTATTTTGATGGAGATATTGAAATTGAAAATGATTCTGAAAGTAGTGAATCAGTCAATGAAATAAAAGATATTAAACAAGAAGACGGAGAAGTTAAAATAGAAGGATTAGAAGAATTACCAAAGAAAAGAAAACAAACAGAAGAAAATTTATTTATTAAAAGATGTACATTAAATAATGATTTAATGAGTAAGTTAATTAAACAAAGAGAAAATGAATTAAGAAAAGGAAGTCATTGTTTATATAAGATTATTAAAGATATTTATTTCCCTACTAAAGAAATAGATTTTTATAAATCACTTATTCAAGAAGATCATAAATTTCATATTCCAAATGTAAATCAATGGAAAGAGAGAATTAAAAATAAAGTAAATGAATATAAAAAATGGTATATACAACCTATTGTATTAATAAAATTATTATATAACTTAATTGTATTATGTTTAAAGTATTTTGGTATATTATTATCACCATCTTTATTATTAAAAAAACAATGGACACCTTATTCACGTTATTTATTAAGACAAACTCAAGAACTTGGACATGAAACTGAAGTTAGAATGAAAAGTGCAGAAGATGTAATTGAAGGAATAATTTCTTTAACACCAATAGATCAATTTAATAGAGCAATAATGAGAAATTTAAGAGTAGTATTTTTGTTAGTATTTATTATATTCTTTACTTTAAATGTACGAAGTGAATTTCAATTGTTTGGAATAAGTAGTTCAGTTATTTGTAATATCCTTCTTACTATTGTAATTCTTTGTTATGATAGTAGTCAAAAAGAAGTTCAATCTCAAACATATGATAGTGCAAGAGATGCTTTAACAGAGTGTTTCCCACAATTAAAAAATATTGTAAGAGAAAATAGTAAACAAAAAGATGTTATTGATTATATTAAGAAAAACATGTATAAGGAATTATATCAATGTCTTATTGATGAAATTCTTGCACCACTAAAAGTATATAAGCTATTAAAACACTGTGGAACTAATTCAGATGTGAATGAAATATTACAAAATGTAATAAAACCAGTAATAGAAGTATAGTTTAATTGTTTAATTCTTTTTGTTATTTATTTTTCTTTTTCCTACAAACAATATCCATTATCACATTAGATGATTTAAATTTAATGAAAATAAGTAAATAATACAAGTATTGACTATTATATATTTATACCAAATGAAGAGAATATTATCATCAAGAGAATATATTCTTAATATATTTAATAAATAATTAAATTTCAATAAAATCATCAAATAAA